TAGTCAGCTTCAGTTCGGAGGCCATGGGTCTATGGGTTCCTTATATACATCTTATCTCTGGGCGCCACCAAGTTAATTGTGACTTAACTAGGAAGATTACTTATTGATGTTATATCAAAACCTGTGCAATTGGAGAGCTTATCAATAAAACAACTAATTAGGTACAATAATGTATCTGGCTTCTTTATAAAAAAATAATAACAATAATGGATAGGGATAGCCAGGACGTTGTTAAAAATGTGTATACATTATGGCTTGTACCAATTTATAAATATTTGATTATAAAAAAATGAATGTAAATAACGCATATATAAATATGAATTTTAAGTAAACATGACTAAAAACCTTTTGGTATTTACACTTGTGAGTGATCAGAAAAATACAATATGGGTTACACTTTACCAACAGGCAAATTAAACACAGAAAGGTGAAAGTTATTGTTAGGGCAACCTCAGGGTAAAATTCTAGAATTTTAAATAAGGGGCACTTACTGAACGTAATTCAGTTTCAAGTGATTTACATAGGATTTGCCTAAATAGTAAAAGGTGTAACTTAAATGTGATACAACTGTTTGTTATCTTCAAATGAATGTGTATATCCAGAAGTTCCAAAAGTGAGGTTATCTACATGTTTGGTCTCACTGTAGATAGACAATGGTATGGTAAGTGAGTCATGAGTCCTATCCACGTTGTATCTGTTTAACGTAGAACCCAATGTGGTTCTAGCAGAGCGATACCAAGAGAGTTGCTGAAGAAAGGCTACCAAAGCCCTAACTGAGAGCAATCTAGATCGATCTAGAATCTCTCTAAATACAGCCTAGCAACTGTCCAACTATAGCCTAAGACTGTCTAGCTACAGCCTAGCACAAGGATTGTCCAACTATAGCCTAAGATTGTCTAGCCATAGCCTAGGAGTAGGAGTAGGACCCTATAACGATGTTCGTATAAAAAAACAAATCGAGCCCCAAACATTGGAAATAATCTTACCTCTAAGTGAGGGATGCTCTAAGCCAAAGGTGAAGTCTTAAACAAATGCTGCTCGGAACAGTCCTATTAAAAAAATGGAACACGTGTTGTAGGTTAATATTTCCTGAAGAAAATCTCAAAACTTACCGGAACAGAATCCAAAATGACCAAGGGACGACTCTAGACAATTATCAATAAGAAATTAGTCTAAAACTTGAGCTCCCTGGCACAAAATTCCAAAAAGTCTCGCCACAAAAAAATTATTCAGGGCCGAGGCCCGAGACCGGACGACTACTCAGCGTGAGGTCGCAGATCAAAAGGGCAGATTCTTCATTTAGATTTCGGAAGAAGGCTTTCATCTGTCAAACTTCTAATTTTGACAATCAAGAAAATTATAGAAAAAAGCGTGTTCAGTTTCACCCCAAGAATACGAACTGGAAGTTCGGTTGTGTAAAAATAACTGGTGAATGTTGAAAAATGCCTATAGAACATATATCAAAAAGTAGAACAGGTCTAAAGAAAACGCCTAGACAAAACAGCTGTTCAATGACATGATCGAAATGAAAAATCAAAAGAAGTAAACAACAATTTATCATAACCTCAGATTATTTATTAATTGGATTTGCAAACAGGGATGATGAAAAAATCTCTCCTTTATATAAGATTCTAATCAATAACAGCGGGCCCTGCCGTACTGAATCAAACCTTCCTAGATCAATCAACCGAACTTGCAAACCTGCACCAAAAAAACTTTCAGTAGAAGGCAGTACTCAAGGGAACAAAATCTGGGCAAAGAAAAGATAGTCGTTTATTCATTTATTTCATTGTAGTTCTATATGGAATCATATCTACTAAAGCAAAACAAGGTAGCTTATTAGCCAAGAAATTGAAAACGTTACAATACTACAAAGTTTAAAGTTCCAAGACACTTGATATAATATCTTCTTTAAATACTAAAATACCGATATTATTTATTTTATTTTCGTTTATTGAAAATGCCAGACTTGTGCGGCAAAGTGTTCAGATTACAAATACATTTAACATATTAAAAATAATGTAATTTCAATTTGGCAGGAACAGTGACATGGATAATTCAAATATGAAAATTGACAACATATTCCAGCCTTCGTTTAATATTTATATCAAATACATTTGACATAATAGATATACACTTCTATTGAAACATAATTTGGTTCTATTTGGAAACCTATAATAATACCACAGCCTGCAATTTGAAGCCTAACTAAAGGATATTTTTTTGAAATTGGTATGTAGAACAAAAACATTTGCATACGCTTAGATACTTTCTTACTTAATTATTGAAGTTTTTCATTCCAACAACAATTCAATGAATTTCACTAAAAAAATACTCCAACTTACTAACAAAATAGTTTCAATTTCCCATTGCACTACTTCAAGATAATTCCAGGCGAAACTTCGCAAATGCAAATATCTGCATTTAATTCCTTGGGAACTTGTTAGAGATACTTTTAACAAATATCTTTGGAATTTAGTTTAAACTTTCTTAAAGTCTTTAACATTCTGTAATTTACTTTCGAATGTGAGGAATAATGATTAGAAGTAGAAGCTCACTGTTAAAGAGAATTATTGTTTTGGAAATGGAATACTAATTATAAATCTCTTGACCTGCATCACTTTAAAAAAATAAATAAAATAATATAAATTTTTTAAATATTCTCCTTCTGAGAATAGACATTTTTGGATAGCAGCCACGAAATTATTATTAAATAAATCAAGTTGTTTTTATACAAAGAACAGATATCCTAATCAGAAAAAAAAAATAGGAAAATAATACCATCATAAATTCCTCAATCAATCAGAATTCGAAAGAAAACCAAAGAATAATATTACCTCGAAGGAATGATAAAAAGCAAGTTCCAATAGACAAAGGAGAATTTTGAGATTCAAAGAGAAGAAAAATGGAAAAATAGAATTTATAAGATTCAAATAAACAGTTACAGCACCTTTAGAGAATGAACAAACTATATAGGTACATACATCCCTTCTAGATCCATTATAGACAAAAATTCAACATAAACCAATTCATGCTTATCAAAAACAAACAAAATTTGCCAAATTAAACACGAATCCTTGACCAAAAAATACAATTTTAGAAGTAACGAATTGAAAATTATTCTTCGCGTTTGCTAAAAGAACTGTTTTAAAGCAAAACTTATATAAAAATGACGAAAACCACTTTCTACTCGATTTTTGCTCCACTGCCACGTACATTTTACCCAAAAATACGGCAGCAACGTACCGCACACGCAGACCATGTCCTGAAAATGGCTTCTACGTGATTTTCGGAGCTCAAAATCATGAAATAAGAATTAGAGAAATTAGATTTTCTTTAGTCGGCTGCAATCTTTTAGTCTGAAATTTGGTCCAGGATAAAAATGTACATTTTGAATCTTACGAAGGCTCAATCGGAAATACTAAACATATTACTTAAATCAACTATTTCTGGGTCGATCTAATCAGGTTCCTAATCCTCAGCTCGAAGAGTAGCGCTTCTTGATAGAGCAGACCTTTTATCTATCTCTGTTATGAAGAAGTAAGCGAGAATAACAAAGACAAAACATGCGTTCTATCGAGAAGCGCCTGGGGAATTGTGGCCCAGGAATACGTAATGTGCCCTGAAACCTCGTCATCACCCCTTTGCAACGAGTTCAGCAATAAATTCATTTTGAGTCTTTAGAGCTCAAAAACCGCACCTTTAAATAACTCTTGGGGCTTATGTCTTTACATTGCGCTTAATTGTGAATGATTTTCCCTGACCTAATTTCAAATGCTTATGGAAATTTGTACTTAATCTTTCCACTTTTTTTTTCAGAGAATTCTTTCAACCAGTCAAAGAATTAAAACCTGATCTGTTATAATTAGGTAAGTGATTTTAAATTTCAATTTCACGAACAGAAAAAAAAAATTCAGGTCATTTTATTAACTTTTTTTCAAATTGCTATATGTTTAGTGAATAATGCTTGATTATTTTAACAAATCGAGTATCGCTGAACGCAGTTTACACCAACATCCAAAGTATAAGACATAAGATAGATGATTTACAGGGTTTTGCAATTCAGAACAGATGTGACATAATGGGTTTTTCGGAAACATGGTTGGAAGAAAATAATACGTTTTTATATAAATTAGAGAACTATAATGCCATACATTCTTGTAGGAGTGGTAAGATAGGTGGAAGAGTTTCGCTATACGTGAAAAACAACATAAAGTGTCGTCTTCTAGATCAGTCGGATACAAAACAGGTAATAAATTGGGTTTGTGTTGGAGTAGGGGAGAATAATCTAAAAATTAGCGTAGTATATAGACCACCATCCTACAACATAGCTGAATGTAGATATTGAAAGTATTTTGTCTAGATATCCAAAAAAACATATTATTACTGGCGATTTCAACATAAATCTCTTGGATGACTCGTATCAAGTGAGAAACTATAGGAAATAACTTCAATTCAATAATTTTAAAATAATCAATACCAAGTCAGTCTCCAAATTATTCACTCGTCAAGTCGTCATTTTTATTGCTCCTGTTTAAAGTCAATTTTGAATGTATTAAAGAAGTCCAAAAATTTTGTAAATTGTATGATCAGTTAATTAGTGTTTTGTGTATTGTTCGTGTAATTTTGAGGCCGATAGGTGTAGTGTAATCTAGTAAAACTTTGATTTAATGATTTGCTGCATTGTGCTGTTATTAATATTAAATTTTGGTGTTCGCAAAAAAGTACACAGGTAGAAATTTCACATTCCTTATCTTTTTATGAACACTGACCTTCCTTATTTATTTTATTGTGCTGACGTTTTATTCCTACTGATTTAAGATATATTCTTTTTTGTTTGCCGGAATTTTTTAGTGTATTTATGTTGTAATTTCCTACACTGGGAAAAGGCACGCACTTTTTGCAAAACTATGGCTTCAGCTTTTAAATGCTGTAGAAAGGCTAATTCTAACTTTATATGCTCCCAGTGTCATAATATCTACCATAAAAGCTGTCTCCAGAGACTCAGGGGAGTTGAGTACATTCGTGGCAACCTGATATTATGCTGTGCAGACTGTTACGAGCAAGCGAACAGCTCCGATCCTGCTTCCGATCCTGCTTGCCTTGCCCAGGCATTAAGGGAAATCAAAGCAGAGCTTGTTGACAAATCTGTTTTTATTGCAAGGCTTAAGAACGAAAAACTGATGCTCCTTGAGGCGGCAGAATCTATGGAGTGCGAACTAACAAGTGAAAACAGGCTATTGAAAGCTAAACTGAAGGAACTTGAAAAGAAAACTGATAATATTTCGCTCCTTTTCCGCTGCACAGTAGCCACACAAACTCATTCAATAATCAGTGCCTCTACTAAAAATAATGCTCGTCAAACATCCGACACAAGCAGTATGAGTGAGGTCGAGTCCAGTCTAGCAGAGCTACAATCCACCTTAGCTGAGCATAAAAGAACTGAATATACTCTGAAAGCTGACTACGAGGCTAGTAGGGAGGAGCTGCGCAAATCTGTTGATGCATTGTCCGAGATCAAAAATCTTAATGCCCAAATGATCACAATGATTGAGACCCTAAGCCAGGATAATCTATTTCTCTCTAATGAATTGGAGGGACTCAAGCAACTTTTCTCTAGGAGATTCACTCACTCTACTGTTCAGGACTGCTGTCCTGTCCCACGATCTACGTCCGGGTGCAGGAGATGCTGCGCAGAGGATGATGGACACTCTTTGTTTCATGAACTATCTGCTGTTTTCTATTTTCGCTCAAAATACGTCACTTACTGGGACCGGCGATTCTTCTAATCCACAAATAAATGATCCCAAACAAAGCGCACCCTCTCCTAGCAAAATAAACATACTAGTGCTGGGAGATAGAAGCTCTAAAGGCGTAGTATCAGGGCTTCTGAATGATTTGTGCTGCAGAGAATACTCTATTTATGGTGAAAGCCATCCAGGATTTTCTCTACTTCAGGTTGCAAACAGGATTGCTCAACTGACTACAGACTTTACTTCGAGTGATAGTGTTGTGATTTGTATTGACTTGAACTTGATTGGTAATTTAAACACTTATTATTTGAAAACGCTGTTCTCTATTGGAAAATACATCAATCTTATTTTCTCTCTGACATACTCCTCCGCAAGGAATGGGGTGTTCTCGAATTATGTTTCATTTTGCCAACAAACTCTCATTTTAAGGAACACTTCAATCCGAATTTTTGATAATATTAAAATTAATGGTAAATATAGAATGCCTAGAAACTCACTATGTAAACATTTGGCTACCTTTATAAAATCTAGCTGTAAAATGAGACATAACTTTGCCTTGTCCTGTGTGAGGCGTGTTAATCCTGAGGCCAGCATTGCGGTGGACTCGTTGAGTACTGGTAGGAAGCTCTCGGGCATTGTTGAGCAAGGTTCTTTTTTAGCACAGGACATTCTGACTCGAACATCTCCTTGATGCTTCTAAATATTCAGTCCGTCCGTAACAAAATCAACGACCTTTTTATTCTTGCCGAGGAGTTGAAGTTTCCAAGCATAGTTCTGTTGACCGAACATTGGCTGAAACCTGAAGAACCATTTTATATTCCTGAGTATCTCATCGTTTCAAAATTTTGCAGATCAAATGCCCCACACGGAGGTACAGTTGCTCTAGTACATGAGTGCATTTCAGAGTATTTTTCTGCCTTTGATAAGTTCGATGACTTGTTGGTTGAGGAGCAGTTTGAATTTTCAATTATTAATTCAAATTCTTTCTAGTCTGTATGTATCGTTCTCCGGGATGTAATGTGAATGTATTTCTCAAAAGACTGGAGGTGCTTCTCTCTAAATTCCCATCCAATCATAAAATGGTGCTTGCCGGTGATCTTAATAAAAAATTTCAGGATAAGGACAACAGGGGCACTCATAACTTGTCAAACTTGTTCGAGTCCTTTAATCTCAATATGCTTGTCCATAGTCCTACAAGGGTAACACAAACCTCTTCCACTACGATAGATTACATCGTTTCTAGCATTCATGAAAATGTCTCTTGTAATGTCTTTGACTCGGGTCTTTCTGATCATAACGCTGTTATCGCCAAGATACCAATGCGCTCACTTACATCATCTGAGCCTGAAAGCTTTGGAAGAATTTATAGTTCCCGCAATTTTGCCTGTGTCACTTTCAATTGGGCTTCTACTCTTCAGGGGGCAGACCCTTTGCTGGCTTTCCGCACAGCTTTGGTCGACATTGTTAATGTTTCCTTCCCTGTGCGCAGGATAAGGCCGAAACGCAAAGACCACAAAAAGTGGTTAACACTGGGAATCCGCACTTCCGCTTTCAATTTACGTTTTCTGAACAGCCTCAGAAAATCTTACACTAACAACCCATGGATTCAGTCGTACTACTCAACATACAGACATACTGTCCTATCATTCTGATATTAGCATTCCTGAATCCCTGGATATGTTTGCTCCAACTACCCCTCACGAGCTTAGGCAAACGATTAACTCAATGAAGAACAAGAGAGCAGCAAATGACGATGGTATCTCTATCAAGATATTGGAGTCGCTACCGCTTAACGCAATCTCAGTTCTGTCTACTGTTATCAATGTATCCTTCCTGTCTGGGGCTGTTCTAACTTGTTTTAAATCAGCTAAAATCATTCCTTTATACAAGGGAGGTGATCACAACTGCCCTTCGAACTACAGGTCAATTTACCTTCTGTCTACTCTTTCTAAACTTGTTGAACGTCTGGTTAAGCATCGTGTTTTATCATTTTTAAACCAACACAACATTCTAACTGTTAACCAATATGGCTTCTAGACGAACAAGAATACGTCGGACGCAATGTTCGACTTTTTGTCGGGGGTCTTCGGGGCTCTAAATGGAGGGGATGCTTCCGCTGCGGTGTTTTGTGACTTATCTAAGGCATTCGACTGTGCGAGTCATGAGATTCTGTTGCGGAAGCTTCGCGCCTACGGCTTTCTGGGGGAGACTCTCTCGTGGTTTGAGAGCTATCTCAGTGATCGTGTCCAATCTGTCCTTCTGAATGGTGCCTCATCTGTTGAGAGGAGGGTTTCATGTGGAGTTCCACAAAGATCAGTGTTGGGCCCAGTCCTGTTTTTAATTTATAAAAATGATCTCAGCCAACTGGATATCACAGGGCACTTTACTTTGTTCGCGGACGACACCACCGTACTATGGCAAAACAAGAACCCGAGTCAGCTCTTCCACGACATTTCATCCGATCTTAAAAAAATGAAGTACTGGTGCGATGCAAATCGTCTGTGTCTGAACATGTCAAAAACGCATCTCAATGGCTTCAATTGCACAGTGGATGATATGGCTTTGGACAATGAGTCTGTGAGTTCTGTTGATAAATCGAAATTCTTAGGCCTACTCAAAAATTCTACCCCCACATAATAGCGCATAACAAAAAAATATCATCTGGTTGTTACTCAGTTCGGTCAACTTATCAACAAGTTGGAAAAGTGGTCGCCCGCAATGTCTATTTCGCATTGGTGGAGTCCCATCTAAGATATGCTATTCCTTTCTTGGGTGCATGCTCCAATTACCTCTTCCAATCTGTTTTTGTTCTCCAGAAACGAGCAATCAGAAATTTATCTAATGCACATCCAAGAGCTCACTGCAAGCTGCTCTTCATCGCAAACAAAATCCTAACTCTTCCATCACTATTCATTCTGGAGACTGCATGTCTCATTCATAAACAGAAGCATACATTTCCAACACATCAACACAGACATGTTACACGTCAAGGTAATCAAATTCCACTTCCAATACCGCATTCAGCCCTTGTCAAGAATTCACTCATTTACAATGGTGTTAAGATTTACAACCGCATTGATCTGCAAATTAGAAATGTTGATGATCACAGTTTTTCGCACATGTCTTAAGAGCTTTTTAAATATAAAAGCATATTACTCTACTGATGAGTTTCTAATGGATCCAAGTTAATTTTTTGGTGGGTTACATTTTTTAATTATTATTATTATGTTACTTTTTTTGACAAGTTCTGTGAACACAGTAGAAAAATTATTCTATTTATTTCCTATTTTATCATTATTTTTTTTTTTCTTGTTTGTTTTTTTATTTTTATTTCATTTTTTTTGTGTTGTTTTATTTATTTTTTTTTTTTTTGTGTTTTTGATCTTTTTAGATGTGAACGATACACAGAGCAGATGTCTGCTGAAAAATGTTAATGATGATTTGAAGAAAAGAGCATTATTATTTATATTTTATTTTGATTTTAATTTTAATTTAACTTAGTTTAGAAAGCTTTGTCAATAAGAATGTACTAGTTTTTGGACAATAAAGCACATTTTCAATTCAATTTAATTCAGAGCAGTACGCTACAAGAGTAACTGATAGAACAAAAACTATTATTGATCATGTGTTATTGGATTTTAACAATGTGGGCTGTATTGGTTCCATAGATATAGAGCCAAACTCCTTGGGTGGTATGAATAAAAACGAAGTACATGCTACTACTACAAGTATTAGTATATTCTTCGAAGTATTTACTTCAAAAAGAAGCATTTACTTATTTCCGGTAGTGTCGAAATGTAGTATCTACTTCGTTTTGGAGGAAATACTACGTAGAACATGCTAATACTTGTAGTAGTAGCAAGTACTTCGTTTTTATTCATATCACCCTTATCTGATCACAATATTTTAAAATTTAAGATTTTTGATAAGATTAAAACATTTAAGCCAAAAGTTAGCTATGAGATAAAAGCAGTGGATTATAAAAAATTTAAGGTATTATTTAGACAGAAAATATAAGGTAGCGTGGTTGCGTCATTTCGAGAATTAATTGATATAATTAGGTCAACAAAGAGTGATTCACAGTACATAAAAACAATAACAGTTAGGGACAACAACACCTGGATGAACCAGGAAATTCTCGAAATGATGAAAAAAATGCAGGTAATTTAGAATATGAAACTGAATTTAAAAGGTTGAAAAACCTAGTTAATAATAAAATTAAAAGTCAAAAAAACTTTTATTTTCGTAAAGAATGGGAGCGGGCAGGTAGCAGTAGCAAAAAGCAATGGAATTTTATAAATAGTTTTTTCAACAAAAAAGCCAGTTTAACTACTATTGATTCACTATTGGTGGAAGGAGCAGAGATTAAGGATGTTGTGGGTATTGGAAATAGCTTGAACTGTCATTTCGTAAAGGTTGGCGAAAATATTATAAATAACCTAAAGAGGGAGCATCTAGTGAGAAATCTGAATATTCAATTTAATGATATAGAGTGCGAAAAAATAATGAATTTACAATTAACCAATGAGGTTGAGATTAATGATATTTTATCAGATCTTAAAAGAAATTCTGCACCAGGGGATGATGGAGTGACTGTGCTGGATTTGATTAACCTGAGGGAATATGTTGTAGCAATAATAACTACGTTAATAAATGATATAATTTGCAGTGGTATATTTCCACAAGAGTTGAAAAAAAGTAAAATTACTCCTATTTTTAAGGCTGGGGATGCAAGGGGCATGGGCAATTATAGACCAATTTCTATAATAAGTGTTTTTTCTAAAATAATCGAAAAAGTCATAAAAAATCAGATGATGCAACATATTAATGAGAACAGATTATTTGACGATTTTCAATATGGTTTTGTAAAGAATAGCAGCACTCTTGGGGCAACTTTCGATTTTGTTAATTTTATTCTTAAAGCATTAGATGAAAAAAAGCTGGCTATAGCTGTATTTATAGACCTGCAAAAAGCTTTTGATGTCGTTAGCATTGATTTACTACTGGGAAAATTGTACAAATTGGGATTTAGAGGA